CAAGCTTAAGCAGGTGAATTTTGGGAGTTTTTATTTTATACGCGGAGGTGTATCCATGGTACTCCGTGGGCAACCGTCGAAATGATATAAAATTTGATTGCTTTTAGGCACCAGACTTTTACGTAGAAATGAAATGGGAATTTACCAGCTGGGGTTAGTTGTTGAGACGAATCAATGTACTTTACTAAGTGCGTAATTAAGCGTGTAATATTTTCAATGTAATGTTACAGTTCCTCTTGCTTCGCGTATGTGTCCAAGCGATACCTATAAAGTTTATAAACAGGGCAGCAATGTTCGCATCGACACTACATTATTGGGTTTTGACCACGACAATTGGCAACGTGGCAATCACAGCTATGTTTTTAAAGGGCAAAGTAAGTAGCGATAATTTAAGTCAAATTTTTATTTAATATCAATTTCAGATGCCAGCTTTATTTATAATTATTACTATAGATGTTTCTTTTAGGTTAAATTTACATTATTTAAACCGACGAATATTCACTATGTAGAGTTACTGTCATTATTATTATTGCTGTTATTAATAGTAATAACGATAGCGTCAGTCGTCAATATTTAAATTATTTATAATTTGTATACTAACGAAGTCTCGCAGAAAGATTAAGAATACCTCTTATAATTGATTTTGTATTTATGATAATCTTTTTAAGGTATCGGTATCTACTATGATGCTATCGAAAAACCTATCAATGTCTTTTCGAGAGAAAAAAAAGAACAAAACAACAAAATAAAAAAGAAATAATATAAAGATTAAAATAATAAATGAATTAATGCATATAGCAAAATGATTCAATTATAAATCTGTTTTTTTTTTGTTTTTATTCATTTATACTGATAAAAAAAAAATATATTTCACACTATTTAATCTACATTCTATTCAATTTATTACATATAATTTATTATTAGTGCAACAAGTGCAAAGTGTACCAATGGCTATTAGATGTGTACGCAGTTATGTGTTCAGCATGCAAAATGATGATTCAGGTGAATTTTTACACCTTGTAGATTGGTTATAGAACCACTTGTATTTTTGAATTTGCTTTAATATTATACTAATAAATAGTTAATTAATAGTTACGAAACTATAGCTGCTACCAAAACATGTAAAATGTTGTGAAAATTGTATGAAAGATTTTATTTGTATTTAGCTAAATAAATTACATTTTCTACATATAGAATGGAAAGTTGCTCGAGGTAAATTATTGCTCATTAAGCATTTGCTTCTAGATGATGGTGCTACAATAATGGAGGTAGATCATGAAACTAAAAAAGTCTATGTAGAGCATATGAAACTTCTTAGTAATGATAATATACATTTAATGGAGCCATCGGAGGAAGGTATTTTAGCCCGATTAACAAATCCAATTGTAACAACTTATATAGATACTGAAAAAATAAGCTTTGAAAGGTAACGTCGTTAATCCTTATTGAATTATAATTTACATGGCATTAATCGTAATAGTTTGATTTTTATTTAAGAAACAAGGCAGGATTGTGGGGTTGGCGATCTGACAAAAGCGAAGTGGTGAATGGGCACGAGTGTAAAGTATTTAGTGCCAGTAATGTAGAATTAATAACGAAAACAAGGTTAGAACATCTTTCAGAAGCAGATAAAATGAGGGCCAAAGCACCTCGTCTTACGTTACAATCGATCTTTGGTATCGCTGAACAGACGCAAGAAGAAGGTGCCACTGCAATTAATGTAATTATATTTGAATAAATATTACTCTCATTTTATGAGTAGGACTAGTTCCTTAGGTTCTTTAGCTTAGTACAATTCATATTTGATTTTTTCATTTTGTTGCGGATGAATTTGTAAACAAAATAAGTAAAAGGAGATATAATTTTGAAAATACGTTTGTAAAAAGATTTTAAGACTTACTAGGTAAAAGTTAGTCATTTTCTTAATATTCGTAGATTAATCATCTATTTTATTCGTTAAATTTTAGGAAGAAATTACAAACATTACCAATCCTAGTAACGTGACACCCGAGGAATATTTTGATCCTCAAGTTGATCTAACTAGCAGAGACATTGGCAGACCAAAGGAAATCACTACGAAAGTGCAAAAATTTAAGGTACGAACAGAAATATTTCGAAACAACGAAATCCCCAACCAAATTTATCAATATAATCAATAATAAACTGTAATTATATATATTTTTTGTAAATAATATGCAAGTTATATATCTTTAAATATTTAGGCCACTCTATGGTTAAGCGAAAAGTATCCACTCAGTCTTCAAGAACAAATTATGCCAGTCGTTGATCTCATGGCCATAACTAGTTCACATTTCGCTAAATTGAAAGATTTTATACAAATGCAATTACCGTCGGGATTCCCTGTCAAAATAGGTACCTTATTTATACTGAATTAAAAATCTTAACAATTTTAGCCGTATTTTATTCAATATTCAATACCCAAATTTTAGAGATACCCCTGGTCCATATTTTAAACGCAAGAATAACATTTGGAAATATCTTCGGACTAGACCAAGAAGTGCCGCACGTTATTCGTGTAGAAGAAGCAAATCGATTAACTTGTCTTGTAGACGATATGTGCTTTGAAATTCCAACAGGATATAAAAAACTAGGTAGTTATATTTTGTTTGTATTGATGCTCATTGAATGCTCGTGTGAATTGAATATATATAATTTTTAAACGATTAGGCGCTGAAGTAAGAACGCAATTTAGCATCGAACAAGAAGATGATTTATTACAATTTGCAATACAACAAAGTCTTCTCGATGCTGGTAGTGAACGAGATGAGGTAAGATATCGATTAAACATTGGACAAATTTTAGGATAAATGGGCGCAGGTCTAAAGCATTTTAATATTAAAATGTATAGGTGGACATATGGGAGGCTCTAAAAGCACAAAAACCTTCGCGTCCATCCACACCCAATATAAGTGCAGAAGAAGAGAAGCATCTCCAAAGGTAGGAGAAAACTGCTTTTACTTTATAACTATATTCTTAGATGTTTACAATGATTTTTCAATAATTCATTTTGCATGTTTTCTATCCTGTCAAACTAATAACACATAGGCAGGTAGGTTACACAAGACTCTTATGACAAAAGCAATACTATTAATACAAAACTGTAAAAATTTTTAATCGCCTAAATATCCTGCATAATATTGTGTAATTATTTGTTATTAGAGTAGAATGCCGTTGATTGATTAATTGATTCTGATTTTTTATGTTTGCATTTAATAGCTTATAACTAAGGACTTTTAGGTTTAATCACAGCGATCCAGTAATAATAGTTAACTATATTTGAATAGAGCGATCCAAGCAAGTCTGGAACTGTATCAAGAAACGGTAGGTGAATGCAGCAGAGAAGGTAGTAGCAGTGCCGGGGGATCGAGCGACGCGACTAACGAGTCATTGAGCAGAGCAGCGGAGGAACTAAGATTGGTGTTAAGACTTTCTGAGCAGCAACAAATAGAAGAAGAGCAACGTCGACTTCTCGAAGAAGAGACATTTAGACAAGTTCTAGAACTTTCGCTTACTGATAAGTGAATTTTTTTAATTTTTCCAAGCTTAGGGATATACACAATAAGTGGCGCGCGCAGCACTCCTGATAAAATAATTTGAAAAATCTTCCAGCTGTGCTTCAAGTGAAATAAAGGATTCAATACAATTTTTTCATAAACTGTAGAGAAGGTTAAGTAAATTATAATATGCAAGAAATATTTGTTATAAACTTTACAAGTATATTGTATGGTTAGAGAATGTGAGAATGATATAAGTTAGTGAATATATATATATATATAATTGATTTAAATTATGTTATTTATTTCTTAGCTACCTTTTATATGAGACGATAGCATTAATTTTTAATGCACTTGGCAGTGAACTCTTGTAAAAGATCTCAAATAAACCATCTTGATTGTCGCAAGATTTTTTTTTGCCATAAACCAATCATAAGAGGTATATAAATGAATCCTATTCTTTGAAAGTATAAAATAAGTTATAAAATTGTCAATATTTCAAATAAAATGCTTTTAATTCTCAAATATTTATTTTCTCATTTTATTAATATCCTAACTTAAATATAGACATTTAATTACAAGCTTAGTAATCCATACCATAAATTACATTTCATTGCCTTGATGTATAATTAAAAATGGTATATCATTATTATTTTTATTATTACAAGAATTCGCTTTAATCGAATTCCGATTGAGCTCTGAAATATATATTTTAAAATATTACTCATTACTTTAATTAATTATCATTGTTTTAGGATTTCACTGAATTAATATATAAATGAAAACCTTTTGAATATTGTGCTTAAAATGGTTGCACTTTCGGAAAAACGTTGTTCGTTTTTGTGAGCTTGTTGATGCCACTTTTTACGAACTGCAACCCAATGTTCTCTGTGTTCTTTCATTAATAATTCACGAGATTTTAATGTCTGCCCTTCCTAAATTAAAAATGAAAATTTATCATAATCGAACGGAATTATTACAACTTCTCTCTTTCTATTACTTACATAATCTAAATCGAGCTTCTCTTTATCAATGATAATTGGAGATGGGATTCGATTTCTTGGAAGAGCTTCTTCACTAGGTAATGGTGGTGGCAGAGAGTTGATATCTCGAATTTCTCCATTAGTATCGAACATATTACCAACACTATTAAATTCTGAAATTATGTCTGGACTTGGACTTCTAGCTCTAATTAATTAAAATACTTTATTAGTCAAATTAATTACTTTTGAACAATTGATATATATATTTTCTTTCTTCGTATTAATCGTCATAAACTTACTTTGGCACTAGATTAGGATTTCTTGGCTGATTGGCCATCCATGCTCTGCAAATTGGATATAAAGGGGTATCTTCTTGAAATTGTGCAAGATCTACACTTCTGTCAAATAACTTCATAACATACGTATGGTGAAATGCAGAATCCATATGCATTTGTCGCCTTCTCTTCATTTTGCGAACTTGACTTTGTATTTGTTTTGGTCGATAAGTTGGATCTCTAAGCAAAGATAAACAAACAAATAAATATTAAAAATCTGCATATTATGAGAATGGTCGAATATTTACATTTTTTTCGGTGTTACTCTATATTCGTTTGAACCAGATTCATCGCCAGAATCCGCGGATGACCCTTCATCGCTGTGATGCAATAATTCTCGTAAAGCCCCTCTAAATCGATCTCGAGCCATAAGAACGTTTCTATCTGTCCGTGAAAAACAAAAATTCCATCTGATATAATGCGCATAAATATTCAAGTTTTAAATAAAACAATACTTTAAACAAAACACATATGGAAATGTTTAAGCGTTCTACGTTTTACCGATTTCATCTTTTACTTCTATTTTAATTAGATCTGGAATGGAAGGTGGAATTCCTCTCTTTTTACCCATTCTGGTTCATGTAATTATTTAAAATTGAATTAATAAAACAAATTTCTTTAAATGACTCCGATAGGTTATTTGTGTACACAAAACTGTGTTGACGGATCAAATATAGTTGAAACTAGTGATTTTGCCTCCAAAAAATCAAGATTCGAAGTTCCCTAGTGTGGATGCACTAATCAAATTTTAATTACTTTAAGACAAGAGCGGCGAGCATTATTTGTCAACAATAAATTAACAGAAATCAATAATTATTACTAATAATGCTCAATAATTTTTGATAATATTTCCATTTAAATTAAGAAAGCTTCGTTAAAATGTTTTAAAATGATACATACATACATACTACTTTCCTTCATTATTACTGTGTTATAATAAATTTATTTATTAAATTTTTGATTATGTTGCATAACTTTATAAATAACACTTTTTATTATTAAAGTAATTGTATTGAAGTATTGAAAATTTTTTGCGTTATGTTTAAGTCAAATGAAGATGTAAAATTGTTATTTCAAAGACCATATATCTATGACAAGAACAATAAACAAATTATAGTTAGTTCGATCGTTTCATAAATAATTATCTTAGAATTTTTATTTTTTATCATATTTTGACGTCAATAATCATAATATGATATAAATAATGCACAAACATTTTGTATTTGCGTTAAATTTTTTTTATAAAGTCAAAAATTTATCTCTAGGAATTTTAATGTACTTCAGTTGGCGACAGAAAGGAAAGTTACAGATTGCGTACGTTATTTTAAAAAAAATTCATTTTTAAAAAATTGATTCGAATTCAAACAACAATTTGCCATTGTCTCATATATTATTTATTTATCACTTATTGTTTAGTACAGGTATTTATTAAATAAACTGTATTCATTTATAAGATTCAAATATTCTTTCGATATTTATCATAAATTTAATTTATGTTATATTATAAATTTTAAAAAATTAACAATTAAAGTAAATCAATTAATTTATAAAATTCTTTTCATGTACAGATAGAAGGTTTTCTCACAAATTTTAAAGAAGATTTTATTTTATCAAGTATGTTACCACCAGAAAAACTTCTTTCGTGTTTAAAATTAGATGGATTGATAGAAGAATTGGAAAGAAAAACTGACTTTGAATTAAGAATACAAATAACATTGCAAGCAATAGAAAATGTTTTACCGCTAGATATAGAATGCGAAACAAAGAATACCGAAGAGGCAAAGATTTTAAAAACAAATGCAGATAGATTATTTGTCAAAGAAAAAGGTAGAGTTAAGCCATTGCTACAGTCTTTCAAACTATATTCTAAAAGTATAGCTAAAGCAGAGGCGTCATCCGCAGTAATTGGTCAAACTTATGCAAATAGATCGGCTATTTTGTTTCATTTGAACAAATATGATGAATGTATAAAAGATATTGATATAGCATTAGAACTTAATTATCCAGATCATTTGAAGGCAAATTTGCTTAGACGAAAAGCTAAATGTTTAAAAATATTAGGTAACGTAGAAGCGGATGATATCTGTGAAGAAGCGAGGCTTTGGCTAGAGAATGTGTGTTTGAGCGATGAGAAGAAAGAGAAACTTGAAGCAAAAATCAATAACACTACAAATGAGTGTGAAAATTTAACATCAAAGCTAGAAAATTATAAAACAGAACAAATAAATTTGCCACAAATGATATCCCATCCAAATATTCCTTCAGCTTCTAATGCTATTGATATAATGTACAATAAGGATTTAGGAAAACATTTAGTTGCAAATCGTGATATTGATGCGGGAGAGATTCTCATTAATGAGAAACCTTATACATCATTTTTAAGCCATCAAAATATTTATACGCACTGCTCTTATTGCTTTGTTAGAGCGTGGAATAGCATACCATGCGAACATTGTCCTCTTGCTATGTATTGTTCGAAAGAATGCAGAAGCAGGGCCTGGAAACAATATCATGATATTGAATGTCCTATAAAGGGATACTTTCTGGGTATGCGAATGAATGAATTGGCACCAATTAGTTTAAAACTTACAGTATTAGCTGTAAGAGAAAGTGGAAGTATTAAAGAACTGAGAAAAAATTTAGAACAGATTGATAATTGTCAAGGTAATGCTACTACTATAGATTAATCGATTGCAAAATTTAATATAATATATGATGGTTTTATCATGTTTTAAAATATTTTAGATTACTTAATGAAAAGTTACACAGGTGATGGAATATATTGTAGTGATAAGTATAAGCCTTTGTACAATTTTGTAACACACGAGGATAAAAGAAAAAGCTATGAAATTTTAACATTATCGCTAAATGCTGCATTTATTTTATATTATATGTTTACACTTACATCTTTCTTTGGAAATACTGAGGATAAAAGAATATCAGAACTGTATCAAAATGAGGATGCAATGTTTATTGGCAAGCTACTAGCACAACATTTCATGTCAATTCAAATGAATGATCACGAGGTATTTTATAAACGAATGCATTTTGCATTATGATATATTAATTGAATTTGCCTATAGTTTAAACTTGATTAATTCTACGGGTAACGCATATAAAATCTAATTCACAGTTTTCCGAACTTCGAAACGAGGAATTTTGTAGAATTGGTTCTGTTATTGGTTCTGTTACAAGCCTTCTTAATCATAGTTGTAATCCTAATGTAAGCAGATGCTCAGTTTTAAATAATAACAATATGCAACAAGTAGTTTATGCATTACATCCTATTAAAAAAGGATCGGAGGTAAGTACTGTCAGCTTATAGTAAATGAAACTCTTCTTTATTTAATATTACTTTAATAATATTATCAATCTGTTTAAGATCTTAGATGATTATGGTTGTCATTTCTGTTATACATCAAAGTCGGAAAGAGATAAATTGTTAAAGAAATATCATATTAAATGTCATTGTCAATCCTGTACTGAAAATTGGCCATTATTTGACGAATTACCTTCTATACTTGTATGTATGAATAAAAATTATCAATATACGAAAATAGGCTTTTCATTTTAATTAAATTTTCAATGCTCGTAGAGAATTATCGATGATAAAGAGGAAAAAGTTGAAGTTTCAAGAGCAATTGTTAGAAGTAAGGATCAGCAGAGAAAAGTTTTTGAGATAGGCCTTGATAAGTATACTGGAAATAAAGCGGACATACTGAAATCTTTAGCTAATTCTATTTATATTCTTTATCAGAGTACAGAAGCACCCTCTAAGGAATATTTTGAACTTCTAGAGCTATTTCAACAGACATTCAATCAAATTTATGGCTATAAATTTGAGCTCTAACGCGTTAAATAATTCTATTTAAAAGATATTTTATTGAGTTGAAATTTTTAATTTTTTAATTGAAAAATAATCATTGTCGCACACATTGAAATTTTACTTTACGTTAAGTATATAAAATATTTATTTATTGTTTATGATTTTAATGACTAATTGAAAATTATTATTAATAATTGTAATATGAAAAGTATCAATTTTATCATAATTTTATTTTTAATATTCAATGAAGAATATTTTCACATTTGACTATTTATTTTTCATATTTCACTTACATTATGAATTTTATAAAAATTACAAAAGTTCATTTATTTATTTATTTATGAAACTTGTCAATAAATATTCGCACTATTTAATTTTAATATTTTATACTAAACGTTTTAATAGATTGTATTTTAAGTTCACACTTTGGTTGTATCAATTTTTTAAAGGCACATTATTTCACGTTTATAGAATTGTTCTATTCGTTTAAATGCATTCGTTATCGTTGATAAATAAAAATTATCAAATTTTTAATATTTTATTAAGATAATGATTTATCATTTGCCCTATTAATAATTATCTATTTTTCAAATGGCTTAAAATTCGATTATCCATTAAAGATTTTGTATCAATATGAATATCAAAGACTTTGAAGTTAACGTTAAATTTTACATAAAATTCGTAAAAATTAATGAAACTGACCGAACAATGTTGCTAAGAAAAGTTCAATCTGCTCGTCGAAAATTGCGCGCCGCTAAGATACATTCAGAGCTTCGCCGCTAGGAAAGTCTTCATCGAATTTTTCTTGCATCTTCATTTTATCGACATTATTTTAACAATCTTTCGTTTCATCTTATCTCTGGTGATAGGCAAAGGTAGCAACATAAAGTTTGAACTTTTGTTTACGAATAAAAGTTACCGAGTCATTGTTGAGAATGGCGGAGTGGTTTTTAGCGAAGATAAATAGCTTCGGCAATTTGGATGACGTGCAGCAGAGGGAAGAGATATTAACAGAGCTCAAAATAAAATTTGCAAAATTAAGCCCCGAGGAGTCGTCGGAAATTGTTAGGAATTTGGATCTGAGCAAGTTGTTTTCTCAACTAACCTCCAATGACAAGTATGTAGTTCAAGAGAAAGCTGTCACTCTAGAACAAATATATTAATTTCGCGTGAAATTGGCATATTGTGAATAATTTTATAAAATTTTTATTTACAGAGAGGTTGTGGAACAAGTGTGCGATGCCCTTAATATAATCTTACATGGTTCTGAGGCGGGTCAAGTTTTATGGCGCTACACATCAGAAATATACGGGATTTTGTCGCATAAATTGCCATACGTGAAAGAATTTGCGCTGCAAGAAATTCTGAGAGTTGCATCTGATCCAAACAGCTTGCCTCAGTTGTTATTAAAACTTGATTTACTTACAGTTGTTACAGAAACGGTAGCGGACGAGAATCTGGGTGTTGCCGAGCACGCGATAAATGTTTTGAAAAAAATTGGTCAAAACGAGGAAGGGTTAAAAATATTATATTCTGGCGTGCTATTACGATCAATAGCCAAATTATTATCTCTCAACGATATCGTAAAGTTTCGAGTTTATGACATAATAGTCGACATCGCTAAAAACAGTAAAAATGGTCTTGCCGTATCTGTGAACTCTGGCTTCTTGCAAAGTCTTATTTCCAATCTTAACGACGACGATATCTTAATACAATTGAATGCATTGGAGACATTAACGGAATTAGCATCGACTAAAGTGGGATTAGACTTTTTGGAACAAAATCAAGTCTTGCAGCAATTGGCTGAGAAAATAGCTCGAGCCCACGAAACGCCACTTTCAAATTTATTAATACCAGGGCTTATGAAATTCTTTGGGAATGTAGCACAACTGTGTCCCGATGAAATATTTTCCAGATATCCCGTTGTTATATCTGCACTTTTTGAAGTCATTGAGAGCGAAGATCAAACTATTTTGGCAATCGCGTTAGATACGCTTGGCCATGTTTCGTCCTCGGTAAAAGGAAAATATGCCCTTCAAAAGTTAGGAAATGCTATGCCTTCCGCATTAAAGAAAATGTCAGAAATAATTAAAAAAATGCCTTCCGAGCTTAGAGTACGAGGCTTAAATAATTTAACGCATATTCTCAGTATAAGTAAGCCAGAACAGGACAATAGGATATTATCGCTCATTAAGTCATGGTTCGATTCACTTGGTGACGAACCACTGAAGTTGATTGTATCTTTATCTAAGCAACCTTTCGCGGATATTAGACAAGCGAGTCTTGAAGTTTTGCATGTAATTGCATCTCAAGAGTGGGGTCAAGAATACATTGCTAATTATCCAGGACTAGTTGAATTTCTCCTAGATAGAAGCGTCGAATCATTTAAAAAGTGTAAGGAACTAAAATTTGAAATTGTGGAAAGTCTGGCGGAATCGGTGCCAGATATATTTGATGCTCAGACGATGCAAAGATTCAATAAGTTCATTAACGAGGGACCATTTTACATTAATACAATTACTGATATCGCTGTCGATGGTGTTTCATAATATTCTATCCATAATTCTAAAATAGATGATTGTTTCAATGATATAGTGGGCATTTGCAACTGGCTCATTAAGTTATAATACATTTTCAGAAAATTCTAAAAGAAGCCTATAACAATACAAACAATATGCTTTGTAAAATTCACAATACAGCTTTATGTAAATAAAGTTGACAGCCTTCTAAATTTATTATCAATATTGTTCATTTGTTGATTTGCCAAAAATGTATCGACTGTACAGAAAGAAAGATATTCTTTTGCAATCAAATTTTATTTATTATTTATTATTTATGTATTTTAGCTCGGATCTATTTCATAACTATTTGTAAACCCTATTGGAAAACTGTATTAGATGAAAAAAAAAAAGTAAAACGAATTCTCTCTATTTATCTTTCCCTCTCTTTATTGTTTCTGTTTCTTTCTTTTTTTCATTTTTTTTTTTTATATATTCATTCATACATTCAGCACAATTATTTATAAAATAAATATGTGATTATTTATTGTACATTTAATCAATATTTATATCCTTGTTTATCATTTGTCCAT